CCAATTAAATTTGTTCGAATCCACTTTGGTTAAAGGTCTTGAGGTGGAAAAACTCTTGCAAACTCTTCCCAAAATTACTTTTCTTTTTACTTTTTATGATGCATCATAACTGTTAATGTAAAATGTAAATTGTAAAATGTAAACTACCACCCACCTACCACCTCCACTACCACCCACTCCACCTACCACCTCCACTACCACCTACACCTACTACCACCCTGTCTTCTATATATAGGAATTGTAAACATTGTAAATACACATCAATTAATACATATCAATCAATAATATACATCAATTATTTTACATGGTATCAGAGCTATAGGTTAAGCTCTTGGTGCTCTTCGCCTTCTGGCGGGCGGTAACCTTGCCTTAACCGCCCGCCGGACCTCAACCAATTGAAACCTCCTACACATACCTTCACTTTCCTGAACCTTCCCACACTCCTCTCTCTCTCTCTAAAACTCTCAACTCACCCACCACAGCAACCTCTTCGTTCCACCATGAAAACGTGAGCCATCGGTATCTGGAACAGTGGTCCAAGGGGAAGCGCTCGAAGCGTCCGTTTACCTCGCTCTCTGCCTCATCATGCTCGCTCGTGGCGGCACCGCCTCACATCGCAGCCACTCCACCCCTCCTCCGCCGCCGCAGCCATCGACTTCGTATGGGTTGCTGTTATTCAAGAGTAGAGAGATAAGAGATGTTTGGGATTCAGAGAATGAGAAAGTTTTGATGAGGTATTTGTAGAAGACGGGATTTGAGGTGGGAGTTGATGTTGTGAATAAGAAGAAGAAGAAAAAGAAGAGAAAAAACAGAGGAATGAGGGAAAGGGAAGAGAGAGAGAGAGAGAGTGGTGTAGTCTGTAGAGTTCCACCCTCATCTATGTTGCAGGAGAGAGAGAGAGAGTTGAAAAGTCAAAGTTAGGCTATCCAAGCCTCGACTATTTCGAGCTCAACAATGATTCATCCCACTAAAAACATCACCACTAATAGCACTAATACATTAAAAAAATAAAAAAAATAAAAAAAAATTACAGCTCCAAGACCAAAACATCACATCATTCATGACGGGACCCACTGCCACCTAATTAGTTGGAGCACTAATTAGTGCTCCCAAGCATTTTTCATTTCGAGCTACGGAGCATTTCTGTTTTCAAAAACTAACAAAAAAGAGGAATTGATAACATTATGGATCTTGTTGTGTTTTTCTTATGCATAAATGCGAGTAAATAATAGATATTTAATATATGGTACCACCGGATAAATATATATATAGTCTCACTAATTAATGAGAATTCGAATAAAAAAATATTATAAAATAGACCTAATTTCTAGACATAATGATGTGTCAACAGGATGATTGATTGATAATTAAAGCATAAATAAAAGTGAGAGTTGATTTAAATATTCTAATAGAATATCACATTATTGGGTCTAAAAAGTGAGTCTAATTCTATTTACATTACTAATTTCATTTGAATATTATAATTAACACAAAGATTTCATGGTTAGGTTAGTGGATGAACAAGAGTTGTTCATTTAAGAGTAATTCTACTTACACTACTAATTTACCTTTTTACACTCTCCGTCTCATTGCATCACCAAAAATTTTTTAAAAAAATGTGATTTTCATTACACCCATTATAATACCAAAACTAATCCTAAACTAAAGACTCTTTAAAACCCTTTCAGTTGTCTCCTACACTGATAGCTTTTGGTAATATAATGTTAAAGAATTTGAATTACTCTAGTGCCGTCTTACCAGACAAACTAATTTTTTTCAACCATTTGTTGTTGTTCGATTTGATGATTTTACTTTGCTTTAACAAGAAATTAGTTGGAGCCTATTTGTAAAGTACCTGTTCGGTAATACATTACTATACAAATTAGATTACTCCAATGTCATATTGTTGAACTAAAATAAATTTATTCAGCCACCTGTCGCTTTACATGCGTTGTAGATTGTTTTTATTGTTGTCTCACTAAAGGCATTTCTTCGTTTCAATGCAATCATTATCTCTTTTGATCATACCATATTCTTTGACATATCAACTAATAAGGATGTTTCCTCCTCAGATAATCTACCAGCAAATGAGTGTCATTCAAGATATTCAACAGCCGCATGATTATATTCGTATTGCTGCAATGAACAGAAATATAATCATTCCAAGTATATATATATATATATATAAATAAAAAAAGCTGAAAATGCTAGCAAAGTATACTACATAGATAGGATAATTAATATCATTGTTACAATCAGTATTTATTTGTATAATAATACTACATTAGTAATTTATTTCCTAATAATTTGCTCGTAGATGCCATGAAAACGTACATGCCAAATGTCCTTGCCAACTCCGTCATGCCGAGACAAACTGTACCTTCTTTGCATGTGGATGGACCATAAACAGTGCAATGTCATTGAACATTTCTAATTAAATACAATCTGTGCTTACCAAAAAAATTAATATCTTTTTTGGCATGCCGGTGTTTGGGAAGAGTCTCTGTTTTTTTTTTGTTTTGTTAGCTTTTTGCTAAAAGACAATATAGGTTAAAAAAATCAAAAAAAATAAATCCAGACAAAATATCATATCAAACACATAATCATTTCACTTTTTCTCTCACAAACATCATATTCAACTATAAAAAAATCTAACTATCTTCTCAAACACAAAAATATTTTCCTCCAAAAATAATTAAAAACTAAAAAACTTACTAAAATAATAATTTTCCAAACACCCACATTGTCTGGTTGTATTATTGCAATTTTCGTACATTAGCAAGCATCAAAATCATTGAATTCTGGCTTTGTGAGACAATAATATTATGCATACATATAAACAAGATTTCAAACAAATTTCAATCATTGAGGCTTTCAGGAAAGCTAGATTCGAAAACCAAAATTAATTCCTCCTTTGGCTCCAATTTATAAGTTGATTTATTTTTTCAGTTTATTTTTTGCCTTTAGTGATATATATGTTTTTTACTTCTTAGATTTGTATAGACTAGATGATCTTAAAAATAAATAAATAAATAAATAAATAAATTAAAATTAAAATTCACTAAAAACAAAAATAAGTCATATTTTTGTCTAAAACAAAATAAAAAACTGGCCTATTTTTACAAAAGTTTTCCATTTTCCTAAAATTTAGAATCCACTAATCTAAACGGGCGTGAAAAAAAATTTGGCACAAAAGTGAAAAAAAATTAACTACAAACAAAAGTAAGTTAAAAAAATAAACTAACTTAAAAAAGATTGCTTGCATTTCAGCTAATCCCAACGACCGAACAAAGCTTTTAGTAACCCAAAGAATTGACAAAGTGATAAAGACTTGAGAATAAGAGCCAAAGTCTCAGGCAACGGATCTTAAATTTCAAATTTGTTGATAAATCAGGGCACTACAACACAGAAACCACATATCCACTCTGGCTTTGGCCCTCAGGAAAAAAATCCTCAGTCCTGCACCAAACAAGCATCTATGTGGAGTGAAATTAGTGATGCAACTCAATACATACTACTATAATGGATAGGTAAATGGAAATCTTCATTTCATGATTAATGGATGTGAAAGATTGACATCAACAATAATGCTGTGTTTGGTTGGGGGATTTGGAGAGGAATTTGGAAAGGAAAAGGGAAAATGTGTGTGAAATTAGGTGAAATGTAGATATATTTTATTCACATTTCACCTAACTTTTCCCTTTCCCTTTCCAATTCCCTCCTCAAACCCCCCTACCAAACACAGCGTAAATGTGTACTTTAAATTAAAAGTAATTAGACAGTATGAGATTGAATAGACTGTGCTTTGCGATTTGAGCTACATAATAACAAAGAAAACAAATAAATAAAGAATAAAAGTCCAGATTTTATCATTGCCTTTGACAGCTTTAGGAAGAGGTGTGTGTAGAGTTTGTCCCATGGAAAAAGTGGAATCTAGAAATTTATTTGTAGAGAAGTTTTTGCTACCCTAGTAAGTGTTGAAAATAAAACCAGGACAATCTATCTTTCCCACATTTACTGTATGCAAGTGAGATGAGATAACTCATTTTATTATTTTTTTTCATAGTAATATCTTGTTATTTAACCTAGCCTCTATTAATTGATAATTGGTAACTTCATGATCTCCTTTTGGTTATGTCTTCTGGATGATTACTCGTATATGATTTTGCTAGTTTTCTTGTGCCAACTTACTTAGGATAGATCGGTTTGTTATGATGCAGTTTGCCCCTTCCTTTTGTTTTAAAGGTGTAAACTTTGCTGTCTATATAGCACTTTGTTTTACATCAATATAAAGAACTTTAAAAATAAAAATAAAAATAAAAAAGAAAGATGCACCCAAGAAATAAGAATCAAAAGATTGAAATGAACTTGGTGTTGGGATCTGGGATCCCGCCCAAGACCTTATAGAAATCATTGCAAGCAGAAAAACACACCCACACACAAGGAGACACAATATTTTACGTGGTTCGGCCCAATGCCTACGTCCACGGGAGAGTAACCGGTTATCACTATACCAATGAGGAGATTACAGAAAGATTACAATAGAGGAGGAGCTCACACTCTCCTCACTCAGCCACTCACCCGTCTCCCTCGCTCACACCGAGGGAGACGGTCTCTCCGCCTCACATCTCTCGCACTCTTTGGTTCACGGTTTTCTTCCTCACTCTCTTTCTCTATTTGGCCTCTCCTCTCACCCTCCATTTATACACATTGGAGTAGGTGGGAGTGCCTTTGGGTAGCCTCCATTCTTGACCCTTGACATGGTTGGTGGCCACCAAGCTTGACTTGGTTGGTTGCCTTCCATTGTTGACTAAGGTGTGTTCCCATGGAAAAGAATCACCTCCTTCACATGGGGTGAATTCAACACTTGGATGTCATTGTAATATATACTATACTCGCATATGCTACAAAAATCTTACCAAAGTACATTTGGAACATTAGCAAATCCTTTAAAATGCTAATACTGTGACCAATTCAAGATATATAATGTTTTCATATCTTCAGTGAGCTAAAATGTTAAGAAGGGAGACTCTATTCTGAATTAATCGCCTAAACAAGCAATCTAATCTAGCCTCGAGTCCTTCTATGCTACCATCAAGTTTTTGTAATCTTTTCCTTGCCATTTCTACATCAATCTTAGCATCATTGCTAGGAATGCATCGATGCAATGAGTGCAAAGCGACATCAACACTTTCCACCTCATTGAAAATCTTGTCACTGCCTCTCTCTGAAGTTGATGACCTTGTAAGAATCAACTTTGAGATCAATGACCATCCACTAGGCTTTGTCGTTGAAGTTGTTAACAACATAAACAACAAGAGGGATCGTAAGACAGAGATGGTAGCCGAAGTTACTTCTCCCAACACTCTAATAACCACTGACAAATAGTGATTCACATCCAACAGATCAGTAGAGGAACCAAATTTCTTTTCCATTTGCTTCAATGCCCCAAGGCACTTAGCGGCTTCCTTCTTCACTCTCTTTTTGCACAATGTATAAGCACTCATATCGCTTTCAATACAATCTCCACCCTTGCTACGCAACACCAATTGAAGGCCTAGCACTTTTTCCTTCATCACCAACAAGAAGTCTCGTGTCTTACTACACAAGTCTAGCAACCCGATAGACCCCTCCAGTGCCTCTTCCACTAGCATTCCATGTTGGCGTTGGAGAAGAGCCTGGAGAATGAATGAGTTCTTCAACAGAATCATACAACTCCGTGAGCCCAACAAGGCCGATTTTAACAGTCTCTGCACTTGAAGGAACTTTGGAATCAAATGATGTCTCCCAAGTCTTAAGCTTGTTTAATTGAGCTTCAATTTTGTTGGAATGGGGATGTAATCTAGAAGGCAAGCTAATAGACCTAACATGATATTGCAAACCAATTGATGAAGATAAGCTTGCCATCTTTACTTCCTTTGCTACTGCTGAAAAAAGGATGAGGCTTGAATGTAAACTATGTATCAACGTATTTATAATAAGAAAGGCTCTAGATCTTCATGTCTCACTCATAGAAAAGGTCTATGTGCATGTGCTGTGGATGTGGGTCAACCTACCTTTTGATGATCTTGTCTCATTTTTGGCTCCAACAACCGGCAATCAGCTCTGATTCTTTGTTGAAATGAATCTCATGGACATGGAATGAGCAACATTGAGGTTCTATTATTTGTTTGGTAATGTTCTTCAAATTTGGGATCTAAATATTTGGGACAGACGGTGCCTTATGGTGGTGATTTTGGTGGGGGGAATTAATGGGTAATTTCAGAACAACACGTAACATTGTCTATATGGTAGTCCAAATCAATAACATACTAAGGTACAAAATATACATGTGAGCTTTATCACTTGACATGAGCCCCATCCAGGGACGGATCCAAGATTATGGGCTTGTTTGGTTTGTTTTTGAAAAAGTTGTTTTTAAAATTTTGTTTGGTTTGTGATTTTTCTCAAAAAATTTCCAAAATCACTTTATCTCTCTTACACATCAATCAATCACTTTTTCTCTCTCATCTCTCATGTTCAATCACTTTTTCTCTTACATACATCTACTTAATTACAACAAAATATCAAATCATCTCAAACTCCCAAACTCCAAACTACTTCAAAATATATAACCAAACAAACCAAAAAAATTTCTAAACTCTCTCTCCAAATTTTTTTTCAAAAACAACTCTCCCAAAAATAAATCAAACAAGTATCTTTGGGGGGCTACTCTATAATTTAAAAAATTGGGGACTACTCTATATAATTCTAAAATTATCTACAAAAAATTTAGGGGTACGAACTCCTATAATTTTAAGTTATTTTAAAATTTCTAATATAATATATAATATTTTTCAAATTTTTGGGCCCCTGTGGCCCCCCTAGATCCATTATTGGCCCCATCTAACATTATTTTAGTTGGCATATTTGTTTGTATACTTAATTAGTGTTCATAACATTATTGAACTTGTTTCCTCCACCCATATATCTCGTTCATTTTTCACGATTCACTTTTAACACGATGTGATAAGCTCAAGATTTGATGTTCTCCAAATATGATATGATATGAGTGTATTGATATCACGCCTTAAAATTTGAATAATTAAATATTAAATTAAAATTAAATTCCAATCAATATTCCATCATCAAAATTTTAAGGGTAAAACAAAATTTAACATTCATGTCTCCAAAGGATGTAAGTAAATTTCCATCCTCAAAAGATTACAAGGGATAAAAAAAAAAATTTAACAAAACACCAACAAATCATCCACCATAATTTCATAGCTAACCAATACCTCCAACATTAAAGTAACAATAACTAATCAAAACAACTTAAATAATGCAAAGTTAAAAAATAACCTACAATGTCAAATTGTCAAAATACTAAGGTCATAAAAAATATATATATATATATATATAAAATAAATTAATATCAACCCTAAGCTCAAGAAAACAAAAGAAATCCAAGAGACATGCCCAACAACTATAGGTATTCCACGTCACCATGGTAGTCCCAACTAATCCTACAAAAGAAGCTCGGCTGCGCTCAAATAGAAAGCACCCGAGATGTTAAGAAACAAAACGGGTCAGTATACAAGTATATTTGGTATGAGTACAATTATTTGACACCCACGTGTCCACCAAATACAAATAAAAATACATTTAATTTCTGTTATAAGACAAGACAAGTAGTTCCATCCGCATAGAGACAAAGAGGCAGTTTCTCGCGATACGGTGACATTTAGTTTCTTACCCGTACATAACTAAATATAAATTAAGTATAAAATAAACAAAATAAAAATAAAAATATGGTGGGTCAGTCTTGCATAAAAGTTAGTAAGATCCATCATTCTATAAAAAAAATAAAGTTAGTATAATTCAATCATAAGGAACTTGTTGAAGAAGTGTAAAAATGCACCGTTTCATGCTTAAATAATTCAAATTGACCAAAACTCAAAGAACAAAAGTTGTACATAATCAAATTTTATAAAAGGTAATGTGAATGAATTTAGTAGAAACTGAACAGGTTGAGAGAAAAACTTAATAGAAAATCCTAAACGAAATTCGATCGAAAAATTTAGAACTAAAAACAAAAAGAAACTGTTGTAAGATGATTTTTTTCGAAAAAGTTCAAAACACAAAAGTGTTTAGAATAATGTTTTACTTCGGTTTGCGCGAAATCAATAAAAATGAGCTCGTTTTGTAGATTAAAACAGCCTCTAAAATCTGCATTGCTAAAATTAATAAAAACTACTATAACCAAAATCATTTGATTAAAAATTCTAATCGATCTTTTAGTACAAAGTTAAAATACAAAAGTTGTCTAGAATTACATATACATGCCTCTGCCTAAATTTCATAATTTATTGAAGTCGATTATTATTTGTTTCAAGATATACAAATCAATGCAATTCAACCTATACATATAGGTTCATATTTAATTCTTTGTATTTTAATTCTACCACTCCGGCCCTTCACTTCTGGCTTACACATATATCTCATGTGTCTACCGTATACCTAACACCGCTCCGAAGCCAAACTTGCACAGGAATATCATCTCGAGTTTGACCCACACTCCCCGGATGGTTAGCATATACGTACACACGTAAATCAAAGCATTCGTCTACTCTTGAGAACGAAGCAACAATATATATATGCACAATCCCTCATCTACTTATGAGAACAAACATAACAATGCCAGACCTAAGGCATTCAAATAGATCTCATAATCCTCACCTTTTTTTTTTATACATTCTTTCTCACCAACACTTAAATAAAATAACAATCCATAAAGTCATGGTGGAGTGTAAAGAATTTATTTATGAATTCTAAGTTTATTTTAATTTCATATAACCTGAGTGTGATTACAACCACAAAATAAATATATATAAAAAACCCTAAACATTGCATACATAACTAACTAAAATAATTGAAATCAATCTATCAACTAAATATAAATACAAAATCAAATCAATATCAAATAAATAAATAAAAACAACGAATTAAACATAAATTAAGAGAAGTTGATTTTGCACTCACAATATTTTTTTAAAAGATCAAAAAAATACTTAAAGAATTAGACCATCTCCAACGGTGAACCAAACCCAGCATCAGATTTAAATTTTGATGAAAAACCCACTTTTTCACGCTCCAACTTAATGAACCACCAAAAACAAAATCTTAACCCTTACTTTTCTCTCCTCTGTCGCCGTCTCTCTCTCTCTCTCGCGTGGCTTGCTACTGTGTTTTTTTTTTTTTTTTTTTTGCTCTTTTTCTCTTTTCTTTCAATCCGTCTCCGTGGTTACTTCTCCTCTTGGAACTTCACTTTTGTGTTTGAACCTAGGTACCGTACATTATACCTAATTTAGGCCAAGTTTGGCTAAAAAAAAAAATATACTTATTTCATCTTTTTATCTTTTTTAGGTCATATCAATCAACATCTTCTCTCTACTTTTTCTACACATAATATAAAAAAAGTCAAAAAGTACACTTATTAGTCTTCCCAAACTTGGCCTTATTATTATATTTATATTAGACAAATATAACATAAATATAATATACATAAATATGATATATATTTTATCAATATATAAAATATATAAATATTCAAATTGATTATATATAATTAACTATCACATTAAATTAATTAAACAACACATTATTAACTAAATATTACGTTAAATTCTCATGTAACCACACAATTAATGAAATCCAAAAATAAAATAATAATACTAAAAAATAAATAAAGGCTTACGAAAAATCAATGTCGCTACAATTGAGACTGAGATATTTGAGGACCAAAAAAAAATGTATTGTATTCTATGAATTTAATTAAAGAAAATTGTAGTTAAACGAGAATAACTTAAAATAATTATAATTTTATAAAGTTACAAGTGAGCATGTGTCTAGTATAAGTGAAAGTTGTGACATGAGATATAAATCTTGTTTTGACTTACACCTCCGTAAAAATTAAAGTATTTTAAATTCTTCTCATTTAAATGCATTTTTAAATTTAATTTAATTAAATATATAGTCATAAACAATACATACAGCCTATTTTACTTGATTGAAATACAAATTTTAGTTTGGTTTGATACTTTGATTCGGTATATCTATAATCATTACATGTAGATTGTTTTATGGAAAACTAGATGCTTTAAGCTCATCTCTAATTTCGTCTCTCGTATGCACCTCTGCCACCGCCAACCTTATATATACATACTGTTATACTATATACACAGAAAAAGTATTTAGAATGTTACCTAAAATTCAAACGTGTTCTACTTATGACCTATGATACACCAACTCAAAATCTACACCATGCACTTCACTTTCATGATAAAATTATTAGTAATTTTTCGTGGTTATGCACATCAATTGTTCATCAATCCAAGAAAGTCTATTAAAGTTAGATTGTATTTTTTTTTTGATCAGCAAAGAAAAATTTCATTAGCAGCATGAAATTACAGGTACAGAAAGATGACATGCATCGAGAGAGATTCGGAAAATACAAATTACCCTTACTACTGCTACTCGCATCCATACAACCAACCCCTTGGCCTCACGATTTTTTTTTTTTTTAAACAAAAAAACTAAGAAGGACTTAACTAGAAAATAAAATACATGAATCCCCACAAAATCAACCCACACAACCCAAAAACAAAAACCAACACCAAACACCCAAGCTGCTCCTGCATTCCTCTTTTGAAAAAACTAAAATTTTCTTTTTCAACACCCAAGCAGCTGCACTCCTCTTATCAACAAACCACACACTACCAATCAACCCGAATATTTTATTCACCCATTCTGTTGCACTCCCAATGCCCACACCACACAAACTAAATCTTTTCAACAGCCCACCAAGCCAAGACCCACGCCACCAAAGCCAAAAACCACGCCTGACAACACTCTACCATAGCATCAAAAGCATTTTGCACGCTCCGCCAATCCAACCAAGACCGTTCCATGGCCGGAAAACTCCATAGCCAACAACTCCATGGCTGGAAAAAAACTCCACACCCAGCTCCACTTCCATGGTCGGGACCGAGAACTCATTGCAACCGAACACACCCAAGAATGATCAAAACTCACGACCATCACCATAGCCGAACAAGACCCACTACCATCTCCACTTCCATGGTCGGACATAGCTTTCCCAATCCAAACTCCCAATACACCCACTGCAGAAGCTCCGATGTTGACAACCCAAAACATCAAACAACTGCCGTGACACCACCATACATCTGGATGAAGTTCACCCTTCAAACTCCCACTTGAAAGGAGCACTCGAATGAAGTCTTAGATAGATCTGGATCGACTTCAACACCCATGTTTCCCCCCAAACAAAGCACCAAAGCAACTCTATAGATCCAAACCAGAGCTCATCCCTTAAACTCCCACTCGCAAAGGAGCGCCCGAATGAAGATCCAAACCAGACCTGAACATTCTCTATTCTGGTCCAAAACCGACCTCCTTCTACTCTGTTTTGACCTTTGATCCAAGCACCCCCTGTTGAAACAAAACATTCAACCCCAATGTTGAAACAAAACGGACAACAAAACATACAGCCCCCTGTTGAAACAAAACATACAACCCCAAGCACCCCCTATTGAAACAAAAACGAACAACGAAGTGGAAAGACATTTTGGGAATCAAGTTTATTAAAAGCAAAAACAAGCACACAAACACAAAAGAGAGCTGGGCCAACCGACTGCCATAGACAAAGGCGGCGGTCGGCTGGCCAAAAGTGAGGCCCGGGGGTGGAGGTTTTTAGAGAGAGAGAGAGGAAAGAAAAGTGAGGAACCTGGGTTGTGTAAGTTAGATTGTATTTGATTTAGGAATTTGGATAAGGATTTAAAAAAGAAAGGGGAAAAACTACATGACATGTGAACAAAGTATAGTTACATTTCATACACTTTTTTCTTTTTTCTTTTTCAAATCTCTATCTAAATTCATGAACTAAACACAATAAGAAAAGAAATGGTGACATTCCAAAGTTGTCTAGAGAGGATTAACCTTGACACTAGACACAAAATTGTACGAAGATGGTGTACTATAGATGAAATCTAGAGATCAATCAAGGACCATATTAGTAGTGCTAATTGATTACATGATTATATAAATGGATATGGTAGTTAAGACAAATAATTCACATAATTATATTGTATATATGTGTGCACGAATGGCATGTTGTCACAATGTTCCCCCTCGAGGTTGTTTGCAGCCTACAATTGTAGTTTGAAATGAGTTTTATTTAATACAATGCATACATTATCATGAAGTACAGCTAATGTGTTCTGTATTTGATCTGTGAAACCTAAATGCATTGACCTTCACTTTTGTCCTAATCATCTCCCAGTCATGTACAATAATGTGAATCGTATCAATTTTTAGCTGTTTAAGAAATCACATAATCACATACAAGTCATGACAATACTCTATTAGTCCAAGGAGTCGTATGATCCCATGATTGTGTAATTCTAAAACTACTGAATCATATGATTGTACTTAAGAAATTATACAGAAATACAAATTAATCTCTATGACAATTCTTAATTAAATATAGGTGCAAATGGATGCTAACCACTAATTAATATTTTTTGTGGCATTGTCTTTTTGTATTAATTATTGCAAATTTCATACATTGGCAAACATCAAAATCATTATTGATTCTGACTTCATGAGACAGGAATATTATGCATGCATATACTTGCAAACAATGCATACTAGGTAAAGCTAGATTTCCGTTTTAGCAATCTTTAAAAATAAAAGAGAAAAGTTAGGGATCATGAAAATTTTTTCATGAAAATGATCATGAAAGAGTTATGATCTTTGGATTACCTTGATTAGTGTGTAGTGCTTTATTTTAAGTGTAATCCAATGGTCACAAAACTTTCATGATTATTTTCATGAAAAGTTTTTCATGATACCTAGCGTTACTGAAAATAAAAATTAGCTTTCCATGTCGTACTTAAAAAGATTTTAAAAATTCAATAATTGAGGATTTCAAAAAAACTAGATTCCTAAGCGAAATTAATAGAACTATTCAATTTTGGTTTTGCCCTTTTGTTTACTTTATGACATGAGACTTTTTCATATGTCCAAATTGATAGTCACAATTTACAAATTTGCTAAATATATGGGTTGAAAAGGATAACATAATATACCCCAAATTTTAAATTTGTTGATAAATTTCATGATTGAAACCACATATCCACCTGGTTTTAACTTCGGAAGAAAATTCCTAAGTATAAAACAGGTGTCTAAATAGGAATAAATATTGAATGTAATTGTGATATCACGTGACGGTGTCACTATCTAATAAGCAATCTTAATTTGCAAGACTTCAACAAAATTGAGTTAGTGAGAGACAAGACTTGTTGACTTAATCTCTTTGTCATTTTATAGGGACCACAACAATTACACGGTAAATTTCTTGCAAAATTTTCAGTAATGTTACCCAAAAAAAAAAATGAGAATCAAAAGAATGAAATGAACTTGGATGTCATTGTAATATATACTGTATTGGCATATGCTACAAAAATCTTACAAAAGAAGGTTTGGAACATTGGCAAAACATTTAAAACACTAATGTTAAGACCAATTTAAGATGTACAGCGGTTCATATCTCTCTTTAGTGAGCTAAAATGTTAAGGAGGGAGACTCTATGTTGGATTAGTCGCCTAAACAAGTAATCTAATCCACCCTCAAGTCCTTCTATGCAACCATCAAGTTTTTGTAATCTTTTCCTTGCCATTTGTACATCAATATTTGCATCATTGCTCCGAATGCATCGAAGCAGTGAGTGAAGAACGACATCACACTCTCCCCCTCATTGGAAACCTTGTCGCCGCCTCTCTCAGTAGTTGATGGCCTTGTAAGTATAAACTTTGAGATCAATGACCATCCACTAGGCTTCGTCTTTGAGGTTGTCTGTGACAGAAACAAGAAGAGGGATCGTAGGATAGAGATGGTAATGGAAGTTACTTCCCTGAACACTCTAATCAACATTGATAAGTAGTGATTCACATCTAAGAGAACAGGAAAGGAACCAAATTTGTTTTCCATTTGCTTCAATGCTCCGAGGCACTTTGCAGTCTCCTTCTTCACTCTTTTTTTGCACAACATATAAGCATTGATATCACTTTCAATGCTTAGATCTCCACCCTTCCTACGCAACACCGATTGAAGGCCTTGCACATGTTCCTTCATCACCAACAAGAAGTCTCGTGTCTTACCACATGAGTCTAGCAACCCAATAGACCCCTCAAGCGCCTCTTCCACTATCAGTCCATCTCGGTGTTGGAGAAGAGCCTGTTGGGTGACTGGAGAATGAATGAGTTCATCAACAGAAACATACAACTCCGCAAGCCCAACAAGACTGGTTTTAACAATCTCTGCGCTTGGAGGAACTGTGGAAACCAATGATGTCTTCCAAGTTCTAAGCTTGTTTAATTGAGCTTCAATTTTGGTAGAATGGGGATGTAACCTAGAAGGCAAGCTAATAGACCTAAATTGATACTGCAAACAAATTGATGAAGATGAGCTTGCCATCTTTGCTTTTGCTTTCTTATGTAGAGTCTTTTGCTTTTGCTTTTGCTTTCATTGAATTGAATGTCAATGAAGGTGTATCAATGTATTTATAAGAACAAAAGACTGTTGATCTTCTTCTTGTTCATTGTCATCTTGTCTGCAATTTTGGGGCTAACAACCGGCAAGGACGTCTGAATCTTTGTTGAATCTGATTGGTAACGAAATGGGCAACGTTTTGAGATTTGATTGTTTGGGAAACAGGGGGTACAGGCCATAGGAACTTTATGCTTTATTGCCTCCCCAATGATTACTGAATTCAAGCTTTGAAATATTATTATTTTCATTGAAAAAAATTGATCTTTCACAACTCCATTAGCTGGCAATGCATGCATGTCTAGAGCAAATAATCATGGGACAAATTGCAATCATAGAATGGGAGAGAGAGATGGCAATGTCCGGACAAAATGTAATAAATAAAAGAGTAAAATTCTTTTTTTTGGGTGAATAAACAGTAAAATTCTACTCACAAATAACAATTTTTTTTTTTTTATATATAAATTCATATGATGTAATAACAACTTTTACAATACAAAACGAGGTTTATTTTTTTGTTAATCTTGTTTGTCTGTATAGCACTACCCAGAGTAAGTAATAGGAACTCCCCCTTCAGGTTTAACCAAATACAATAATGTTCCCTTAAGATTTAATTTTTTATTACACTCTACTCAATTCAAACTCATGGGCCATTCAATCACACCCATTTAAAACTTGTGTAAACCTGCCCGACTTCATAAATGTGATGTTCTGAACGATTTAATCTTTCCTTTTCTTTTTCTTTTTTTATAAGCCCAAATGTCCAATTAAAGTGAAAATTATATAAAATGATAGTCACTTACATGTTTAGATTTAATTTTTTAGAGATAAAAGTGATTTTCTCAAAATGTAAAATTACACATTTGGACAATTTGCATTATAAAAGTTTTAGATTTTTCTTCATTCTAAACAAAATCACACACTACGAACAAAAACCTGAACTCTAATATAACACTCCAATAACGTAACACTTCAATGTAACACACAAAAAAACTCATTTATGTACTTTTTCCAAATGTAACACTCAAAAAAATTATTTAGTGTACTTTTTCTAAACGTAACGCTCCAATGTTAAAAAAATAAAAATTTCTTAGTATACTTTTCCCAAACGTAATACTTCAATATAACACACAAAAACACTGAAAAAACTCATTAGTGTATTTTTTTCAAACGTAACACTCACAATTTGAAATTATATATTTATTCAAAACTTACAAAGGAATATTTGTACTTCTTTTGGAATGGTTTGAAGAATCACATTCTCTTTTCTTTTTTTTTTCTTTTTTTTTTTTTGTGTGTGTTACATCGGAGTGTTACGTTTAGGAAAAGTGTACTAAGATTTTTTTTTATTTTTTTTATTTATTTATTTTGTGTTATATTGGAGCGTTACGTTTGGTATAAATACACCAAAGAGTTTTTTTTGTGTTTTAAATTAAATTGTTACACTAAAAAATTTTTTGAAATATTATATTGAAATGTTACGTTTAGAAAAAATAGACTAAGAAATTTTTTTATGTTACATTAGAATGTTACACTAAGGAGTTTTTTTGTGTTACATTAGAATATTACACTAAAAAAAAATTTAGAGTATTATATTAGAATGTTATATTTGAAAAAAGTACATCAAGAATTTTTTTTTGTATTTTACATTAGAGTGTTATACTAAGGAGTTTTCGTTTGTGTTATATATAGTGTTACATTAAGCCCCGGTTTGATAAACATTTTGGGCTAAATAATCACATATGGACAAAAAAAAAAATCAAAAAAGTTAAAAAGTCAACAAAAAAGTTTGTCATTCCAAAGTCAAAAAGTCAAAAAAACCAAACAAGAAAACCAAACAAACAAAAAAGTCATAGGTTAAAAAAATTAAAAAAACCAAAAAGTCAACTAAAAAAGTCATTATCAAATGAACCCTAAAGAGTTTTTTTGTGTTGTATTAGAGTGTTACATTTGGGAAAAAAAATACACTAAAAAGTTTTTTTTGTGTGTTATATTAAAGTGCTACAATAAGAAATTTTGTGTGTATTACTTTAGAGTGTTACACTCAGGAATTTTTTTAGAGTGTTATATTGAAGTGTTACGTTTAGAAAAAGTACAATAAACAGCTTTTTTATGTGTTACATTAATGTTACATTTGGATGTTAATAAATGTTAATGTTACAATACGGACAAACACTACAAAAAGGAACGAACACCACACCAATAACACCCCAAACAGGATAACATCATCTACCTACAAATCACTCCACTAAATTCCCACAAAAAAAATAGAAATGTAAAAACCTATCTTACCTACGCACACCCAACATTAAAAATAAAAAATAAAAAAAAAAATTCACACACGAGCAAATAAGTAAACTTTTAAACCCCTAAATTAAGAAAATACAACATATCCAAAATAAAAAAGACTAAATGATTTGAAAGAAAACTTCTACGACTAAATAGAATAAGTTTTCTCCAAATAAAATTTATAAGTAATTTTTTCAAAATTCTACTCACAAATAACAATTTTTTTCTTTTTTCTTCTTTTTTTTTTTTTTATTGATATAAATTCATATGACATGTAATAACAAAACTTTTACAATACAAAACGAGATTTATTTTTTTTTGTTAATCTTGTTTGTCTGTATAGCACTACTCAGAGTAAACTCCCCCTTCAGGTTTAACCAAATACAATTTGTTCCCTTAAGATTTAATTTTTCATTGCACTCTACTCAATTCAAACTCTTGGGCCGTTCAATCACACCCATTTAAAACTTGTTTAAACATGTCCAACTTCATAAATGGCTCTTAACACCACCACCACCCCATCACAGTTGGTACTCCACCACTGCCACAGCCACCTCAGCCACCACCACTATCGTTGCTACCATCTATTGAGAAAAAAAATCATATAGTAAATGTGTTTGTCAGATTCATTTGTCCAACTTATATCCGATTTAACTCAATCCACTTGAACCCATATTTATTAAATGAACATATTTAAGTTAAATTATTTTAAATATATAACTCATTTTAACCTGTTCAAATCCACCCCCAACATGCCTGGCCGCCACCTACTTACCATCAATCATACTATTAGTAATATAAAGGAAAAATATCATCTATTTTATATTGAAATATGTATTTTTATTTTTAATGATGCATGCATCCATACACTACTTGCATTAAATACACTTGGGTCATTTTTGATTGCTGAATTATTTTTTGTTGCATTAAATACAATGAGATTAATTATTAATAGGATTGTGAATGATAAGTTACCAAGGGTTATGAAATATATGATTAGATAGAAAGAATGAGGTATTATATTTGGTTAGAATGAAATAAAATTATATAATTATTTTTAACCGTTAGATAAAGAAAGAAATAATCTCGAAAGACCTCATTTTTTTAATACCACACCACCCCTTGTATTATTTAATCCCCCATTTTCTTCTATTTAATCCTCCATACCAATACTAAAATTATCTAAAATTTAATACCATGCAAAACAAATATTGGATAGAAATATCCATACGGACAGACATGTTCCCCACCTTCAATCCATTCCTCCTTATCCTACTATCAAATACCGGACTAATAATCCAGTGAATCCCACATGTTTCCTCCACTTTCAATTTCAATCCCACTAATAGTGAAAGCAATCAAACATGGCCTTGCTTTACTATAAATAAATAATTAAAAAAATAGTGTAATTATGCTGTATATTTATTGCATTTTTTTTCAAACCTAAAGAAGAAACAAAAAACATTATAAACCACCATAGCTCTTGAAGTCTAGCATTCCATTGAGGAACAAATAGGGTTGGTAGAAAGAGATGGTTTTGTTGTAAACAACCATATTCTGAAAAAGGGGCAAGGAAGCATTTAGAAGTATATATAAATTGTATAGCCATTGGAAATTGGTGTACGCCCTAACCAAGGAAGATGGGAGAGAATAAACAAAGGATTATGCATAGCAGAAGGCAGCAGAGTGTTGACAGTAACAAAATAGGGTTATAGAAACAAAAATCCAACCAGCCCAGACAAAAACAACCAGATTTTTACCCAAAAAATGATTGTGTGAAGGAGATTGAAACGGTGTGTGGAGTCATGTATAGAAAAAATCTGGACCATAAATTGACAATTCTCAGTAAAAATTCTAGATTTGTAGTAATACTATAGAAATGGAAAACCTACAATTGCAGCGCAGCACAGCACAGCACATGCATAATATATGCTCTTGCAGAGCACATGATTCTCCTTGTCTCCTTGTTTTTTAACCCATCTCCAATTCACAAAGAAAACTGTTTAAGAATGTTTCGACATCATTCCTAAATTTACTCTTATTAACATAAACTAAGAATATTTAGTTGTTGATTTTTTCAAAAATCAATCAACTATGATCCATTATGTGAACAAATTTTGAAGTGATATTTTAGTGCTAATCTCTCACATTACTCATTTACCAACTAGTTGTATAACACCCTAGCAATTCAAATACAATATACATTTCCTGTCTCCTTTTTATCTCCAATTTACAAACTAGCCGTATAACACTCCAAATTATGTTACAATACATTTGTGTAGGCTAATGATGAGGCAGTTTTAGGTCCATATCAAAAGAATAAAGAAGGGCATACCAAGAATATTACACTTCTACAACACTATTCACATAGAAGATTACAGGAGCTAGAAGAATTGTTAAAATTTTTCTAAAAAAACATTTATTTGGACCGAAAACGTTTTCTATGGAAAACCTTTTTTCAGGAAATATTTTTCGATGAAAATGTTTTTCCAACTCTTCCTAGTGACCTTAAAACTAACATACCAGTTATATTAGTAGTGTTAATAGTGGTGGTGGGTGGCACAGATGACCATGACGGTGGGGGTGGCATTCGGAAAGCATACATTGAATGTTTGGGGAAGTGTTCATTGAATTCAAGATGAGAAGCTCATGTCTGAAACCCGAGATAAATGCCAAAACTGGATATTTGATCTGGAACACTCCTCAGGAACTTCATTTTCTACATAGTACATTCATCAATTATTACCAATCCTTTCACTTATGCAATGATTTACTAGTTCTTAGTTCTCCTTGGTCTAACCCTAATTCTCAGGTAAACTCTCTCTTACCAGCTAAATTCCATCTAACCCAACCTTGTCTTATCAATAATGGGTGCCAGTTGGGTCACCCGAAGCTCTTTGCCATGCCACAAATGCAAGGTACATACAATGCCCGGCAAGTTAAGACCTATAATATCAAAACCCAGAACAGAAAAGTTTATGCAAATAGATGAAGATTGAAATAAGGATAAGAATTATCGAACAAGATAATTTCAATAATAGCATTGCACTACTAATAATTATCGAACAAAAAAATACTATAATCAGATTATTAAATGAACTTAACAAAAATTTTAAAGAAAATCAATTAGAAATTGGAACAAAGGTTTCCGCGTTTTTCTGGACGAGCGCGGGTAAAGAAGCTAGTCCAAGACTATAGGTTTAGGATAGCCACTTGGAACATAGAAACCTTAACTGGTAGGACAATGAAATTGGTAGATGTTATGATTAGGAGGAGAGTTAGTATAACTTGCTTACAAGAAACTAAGTGGACGGGAGAGAAAGCTAGGGAAATTGAGGATACTGGTTTTAAACTTTATTATAGTGGTAAGGATAGACGCAGGAATGGGGTAGGAATTATAATTGCCAAGGGTCTTGTGGAAAGTGTGGTGGCGGTCATTAGGAAAGGAGATAGGATTATGCTAGTTAAAACTAGTTATTGGAGGGAATATAGTGAACATTATTAGCGCTTACGCCCCTCAAGTACGGTTAGAAGATCAGACTAAGAGGGATTTTTGGAAGCAAATGGATGAGATCTTACAGGAGATACCCGTAGGAGAGAACCTGGTCATAGGTGGAGATTTCAATGGCCATGTGGGCATAGATAAAGTAGGTTATGAAAGGGTGTATGGTGGATACGGTTTTGGTGACAGAAATGAGGCTGGAGAGAGAATCTTAGATTTTGCGTTGGCTTCTGACCTGGTGGTGGCCAATACTATGTATAAGAAGAGGGAGGAGCATTTGATAACCTTTAAGAGTAGATTAGTTAAGAGCCAAATAGATTATTTCTTAGTGAGAAAAGTGGACTGCCTAAAATGCAATGATTGTAAGGTGATTCCTGGAGAGAATCTGGTCTCTCAACATAAGATTTTGATACTAGATTTATGTTTTAGAGGGCAATACCAAGCTAGGAAGGATGGTGGGCGTCGTAGGACGAGATGGTGGGACTTAAAATGGGATAAACTAGAAATATTTAAGAATCGAATGGATAAGGAAGGTACTTGGGACTTAGAAGGTGATGCTAACACTATGTGGAATTCGATGGCCAATTGTATGAGGAGAATCTCAAGGGAAGTGCTTGGAGAGTCGAAAGGAACGGGACCCAGCTCTAGAAAAATTTGGTGGTGGAGGGAAGAAGTCCAAGCGGTAGTTAAGGCAAAAAAAGAGTGCTTTAAAAAGTGGCAGAAGGATAGGACTGAGGAAAACCTTAAGAGCTATAGATTGGCTAATAAAGAGGTCAAGAAAGTAATGAGAGAGACTAAGTTGAAAGTTTATGATGACCTATACACTAGACTAGATAGTAAGGAGGGAGAGAAGAGGGTATACAAACTTGCTAAGATATGGGAGAAGAAAACAAGAGATTTTAATCAAGTAAAGTGCATCAAGAGTGAGGATTCTACGGTATTGGTGAAAGATGATGAGATTAAGGAAAGATGGAAGAATTATTTTGAGAAACTGTTAAATGAGGAACATGGAAGTACGACAATAAGAGAAGAAATAATCAGTAATACGATAAACCAAGACTATAAGTTCTATCGCAGGATTATGAACTTTGAAGTGGAGATTGCACTTAAGAAGATGAAATCAAATAAGGCTTTAGGACCTAATGATATCCCTATTGAAGCTTGAAAATGTTTGGGTAAAAAAGGAGTTGCTTGGTTGACTAGGTTGTTTAGCAAAATTTTGTTGACTAGGAACATGCCAGATGAGTGGAGGAAGAGTATTTTAGTGCCAATCTATAAAAATAAAGGTGATGTCCAGAATTGTAACAACTATAGAGGAATTAAGCTAATGTGTCATATAATGAAAGTGTGGGAGAGGGTGATGGAACGCCGATTGCGAGACATAACAGAGATGTCAGAGAATCAATTTGAATTTATGCCTGGTAGGTCAACAATGGAAGTGATCTATCTTTTGAGGAGAGTAATAGAAAAGTATAAAGAAAAGAAAAGAGACATTCATATGGTGTTTATCGACCTTGAGAAAGCATATGACAGAGTACCCCGAGATATAATATGGTGGGCGTTAGAGAAGAAAGGGATGACAAAAGGCTATATTGACGTGATTAGGGACATGTATGAAAGGGTGGTGACTACTATTAGATCGCCAGCTGGAGAAACAAATGAATTTCCTATCACTGTAGGGTTACACCAAGGATCTACCTTAAGTCCTTATCTCTTTGCTTTGGTTATGGACGAGTTGACGATAAATATTCAGGATGACGTGCCATGGTGTATGCTTTTTGCAGACGATATTGTGTTAGTAGATGAGACTAGAGCAGAAGTTAACACAAAGTTGGAGATTTGGAGAAAAGCTCTTGAATCTAAAGAATTTCGGATAAGCAGAACTAAGACAGATTACATGGAGTGTAAATTTAGTAACAGTAACAATGAAAGCAGAGGAAAAGTGAAGATAGAGAACCAAGAACTGCCTAAGAGTGAATATTTTCGTTATTTAGGGTCGATTATCACAACAGCGGGAGAGATTGATGCAGATGTGGCCCATAGGATTAAGGCGAGATGGTGTAAGTGGAGAAGTACGTCTGGGGTATTGTGCGATAAACGAATACCCACTAAACTAAAAGGTAAGTTTTATAGAACGGCTACTAGACCAGCTATGTTGTATGGGACGGAGTGTTGGGCAACCAAAAAACAACATGTAGATAAGATGAGTGTGGCTGAGATGAGGATGCTAAGGTGGATGTGTGGTAAGACTAGACGGGACAGGATTAGGAATGAGTGTATTCGGGAATGGGTAGGAGTAGCACCGATAGAAGATAAGTTGAGAGAGAATCTTTTGAGATGGTTTGGTCATATTCAACGGAGACCAACAGAGGCAGTAGTGAAGAGATGCGATGCTGTAACGGTAGATGGAAGTGTTAGGGGACGGGATAGGCCTACATTAACGTTGACTAGCATTATAAATAGAGATATGAATCTACTTAATTTGACTAATGAAATGGCCTTTGATAGGGCCGCATGGAGAAGAAGGATTCATGTAGCCGACCCCATTTAATTGGACTTAAGGCTTGGTTTGGTTTGGTTTGGTTTGGTTTGGTTTAGAAATAGAGGATGCTTAAGTTAACAATAAATTAAAATCTGGACCTGCTCACAATTTTATATAACCTTTAATCGATTCGAATTTAATACTTTAGCAATTTAATTGACAAAATTGAAACTTTAGGGACTTAAATGAAAAAGATGTTAAACTTGAGGGACTATTATTGTAATTTATCCATTGAAATAATTATACAAAATACGAGACGCATTATTCACATTGCCTATTAACCATTCATTCATTATACAAAATGAATGAACAAATTAAAGCAATGCAAATAAAGGAAAGACAAATGAAACATATGTTGCACAAATCTGTTCATATAAATCAGTCGCGAAAAGTAGACTTTACCAGTGTCCCATTGCTCATCAATCAAAATACAATCTTCACACTTCTGCCAAATCAAGTATTTCTCAAGGTTGTGGATTGCTCAGGTCATAATCTCATGGCAAGTACAAAAGGCTGACATATAATTGCATAAATTATCATATATTCTTCAATGTACTATCAGAGGAAAGGAGAACAACGAAAAGTAAATAAATTTTTATTTTTGCTGCATAACATGTAGGAAAATTTGGAGGAAAATGATATACAGTGCATATTGAGATACACTAACCTATCAAAGTTACCAATTTTCAGGGGTGCCGATACCAACAGATATATCATACAGGTGCTCGTCACCTTGACAAACTCCTTAGGAGTAAACCAAACCAAACCAAGCCTTTAAGTCCCATCAAATGGGATCGGCTGCATGAATTATTCTTCTCCACTCGACTCTATCAAACTTCTTGGGAGTAATGTCAAAAAAATAGAAATGGGTACTAGCAGTCTGATGAATTCAGGAAGAGAGCTGATTAAGAACTACACTACATGCCGAAACTCCCACCAAGACGGCCTTGCAAGGCCTTCAGGTGGTTAAACTGCTCTCCCCATTTCAGCTGAAAACAACCCTGCGAGTCCTGACAGTACCAGGGAATTTATGAGAGAACAACTTATGATGGTTCCAAGCCCACAGCAACTTCACACATGAAAAGAACAAGTTGTTTTATTGATTTTAACTGCTGCATTTTCTGTTGGGTAACGTGGACCCTGTTAAGTATTGTACACTAAGCCTTGGGTCCAATGGGTGATTTGGAAGGACCTCCCCCAAGGATTGCGGGGCCCAAATTTTTTGGGTACTTGGCAATTTCCTGTTTGCTTCCACCCGCGTTGCCTGATTTCTATGCTTATAAATAGATGATGGGCGCCTCTTGTATTATTAAGAGAGTTGTAATCTTTTTCTAATCATAGTAAAAACCATAGCAGCGGTGGACATAGCCTTATTTTAGGGTGAACCACGTAAATTTTTATGTTGTGAACCACGAAAATTTTTATGTTTCTTTTGTGTGTGATTCTTTCAATTTGTTTTAGCTCTATTGTTTGCTATTTTGTGTCTCCCGATCCTAGTTAGGAATTTTCTCCAAACAGTAGCTTGATTGGGTGCCAAAAACAGTAGGTATGATTTGGCCAGGTTAGTGCCACACGAGCATGGACTTTTCTTGGTTAACCAAGGGAAGCTCATTTGCAATTCCATAATTGAAACCAACAATAGCTTACAACCACCTCTGCCTGGTTAAGGACCAAGGAGAAAAAAAATCAAGGGGAATAATTATTTGTAGCACAGGAATGTAAATTACAACTAATTCTAGCTAATAGCAGTAAAAATAAAAATAAAAATAAAAATAGAAATACAAAATAGAAACTATAGGTCCAAACTTCTGTCATGCAGGAGAGCTACCACAACAGCTTTTGCCGCAAAAGACCAGTATTGCCAAAGAAAAAGTTTGTTTTTGTATTATCAAAACCTTAGTTGCAAGAATCGTGCAACCACGTGACGAATCTTCGTAAGAAACGTGATTCTGCATTTCTTAAAAAGAAACGTGTAAGAATCGCGTTTCTGTAGAGAGAGAAACGCGATCCTGTCCAAGTTGGTATGGTTGGTGGAAATAAAACAACTCAAAAATCCAGACAGAGAAAAGCCCTAACCCATTGAAGACAGAGAAAGAGAACAAACAGAAACCCTAACCCATTGAAGACAGAGAAAGAAAAAAGAAAAGGGGAAAAACCTGTTGAAGCTCTAATCGAGACTAGATCAAGGTATGCTCTTCCAATCTATGAGTGTTCAACTATCTCTCTTCCTCTGTTCATCATCGAAGTCGAACCTGTTTAACTTCTTTGACTCTCTCTCTCCCTCTGTTCGATGCTCTTCGTCGTCGTCTCCTTCGTCCTTCGTATCTCTCTCTCTCTCTCTCTCTCTCTGTGTGTGTGTTCATCTTCGTCTTTGTCTCCTCTCTCTCTCTCTGTTCGTCTCTCTCGTTTCTCCCCTCTATTCGACTCCTCACTCTTCCCTCTTCGATGTTGTCTCTCTCTTCCTCTTTTATTCTTTATTTTATTTTTTTAACCTTTTTTTGTTTTTAGTAATAAAAAAACCATTTTACATCTTTTATTTATTTTTTTATATTTTTAATATTCTCAATATCCTAAACATTAACATATAGAATAAAAAAATTATAAAATAAAATCATATATAATAAAAAAAATTATAAAATAAAATATCTAATTTTTCTTTTTGTTTATTTTAACATAATTTATTATTCCTTATTTATTATAATTTTTTATTTATAATATATATCAATTAAAAATAAAAAAATAAATTAACAATAATACATTATTTAAAAAATATAATAAATAAATAAAATAATTAATGTATATTAAAATAAAAATATTTATAAAAAAACTTCTAATGTGCAATAAAAATATTTATAAAAAAACTTCTAATGTGTATTAAAATATATATATATATATATTACCACTCCCCGAGGCGCTCCCAACTTAAGAAACTTCTATCGGCTCACGCTTCCTCGCTCCCGCTCCTGCTTCATGCAACTAAGATCATAACATGTTTCTACAGATTAAGTATGAAAACAATGCCTAAAGATTAAGCATAACTGCTTACTAAAGAATGCAAAGAAAGCAGGCTGGTGGCCTGGCTTCAAAACTGAAGCTGCATCACACCCTGGATTTCCAAACCCAGCGAAATGCACTAAGTGAAATAATTAGAGTTGCTCAAACACATGCACGTGATTCATGTGAGCATGCTATTCACTTGGCACCTTAATCACGAGAGTATGAAAACAATCAATTTAAATAAACATGCAATTCCAATAACCATATTAATCATTTAGCGCCTTAATTACATAGCATGCAAACACTTCGCACATTAACTGCCTAATCATGCTATTCAAAAGCTTAACCACATAATCATGTTATTTACTATGCATCTTAATCAACTAGCATGTGAACACAGCATTCATTCTCCTATCATGTTAACTTTTCATTTCAATTACATAGGCTTGTGGTGTCCAATATCTACTCATATAAGCATGTGAAACACTTAGTATCTAATCACATAGCATGCAAACTTACAAAATGTGCTCTACATGTCAATCCTGATTTTAAGAAAATGGAAGAGAATCTCTTACAATGATGAGGCAAGAAGGTGGAAAAATTCAAGAAAACAGGAGGGGGAAGCTGCTTTTGGTAGCCTGGCAGCAAAAGGGGGCTGCTGCCCTTCTTTTTCCTATGTCCCCAAATGACACGTGAGGCAAACTCAAAGACCTACAGTATCCAACTTGGAGACCAAGTCTTCCAAGCATGGACAATGATGAGGCAAGAAGGGGGGAGAGAATATCTTACAATGATGAGCAAGGTTTTAAAAAGCCGCCGCAACCGTTACGTAACGCTGTTACGTAACGGTTGTGGTCGTTACCGCCACCCGTTACGGCTACTTTTGCAGTGTGATTGAGATTCACAGGTGTATCGGCTGTAGCGGCTGCTATAGCGGTCGTAATAGTGCTGTAACGGCCGTAACGGCATGTTACGCACCGTTACGTAACGGTTCCAAATTGCGTTTTTCGAAAAAAAAAAGTTGAAAATGCGGAAGAGAGATAGAGAGAGAAGAGGGAAGATGGAGGAACAAGAGATAGAGAGAGAAGAGGGAAGATGAAGAACATGTTATCGATTTGTTGAAGCTGTAAGACTTATACTATTATATTCAGCTGTTATCACTCAACCATTTTGTTTATGTGTGTCTATCTATATATTGTTTGATAATAATAATAACAATAATAATAATAATAATAATAATAATAATAATAATAATAACAAGTGTGGTCATTATCTATTTGGCTTGATTAATATATATATATATATATATATTTTTAGGCTTTTATTTATTCTCTTACTTTTGTCATTGTTTATCTTATATATAATAGTTAGTAATTGATTTTTTATATAATATAAAGTCATCAATTATTAAAATAAAATGTTAAAAACTCAGTTTGTAATGATTTAAAAATATGAAATATATTGGATCAAACTAAAAAAATTATAAAAATTAATCAATATTTATTTTAAAACCCAATAAATATGATCATGGAAAAAAAATGTGCGTATCGGTAAGTTTTTTTTAAATTGTGCGAAAAATAAAAAAATTCACGGTTCCGATTACCGCAACCGTTACGCTACGGCCTTTACACCCCGCAACCGCAACCGCTCCACCGCCACCGTTACGGCGACCGCAACCGTTTTTTAGAACCTTGATGATGAGGCAAGGTGGAAAAATTCAAGAAAAACAGAGGGGGGAAGCTTCTTTCGGTAGCCTGGCAGCAAAAGGGGGCTGCTACCCTTCTTTTTCCTACGTCCCCAAATGATACGTGTGAGGGAAAGTCAAAGACCTACAGTATCCAACTTGGAGACCAAGTCTTCCAAGCTTGGACAAGTGTCACAACCAGTTAGTCAAGGAGGGAGGAGAGATGGAATATCTTGCAAACATTACATACAAAAAACAAAATAGTTAAAAGTCAAGCCAAATACAAGGCCATATGAGCCGGGCCCTCTTTCGAGGAAATAGGAAGTTTCCAAGCAACTTCCTTTATTGCTTCAATTCAAATTGAAGTAAATACTTTAGTGGAAAAGCTTGAGATTCAATTGGTTTCCAACCAATCTGTCCCGCTACATCCCCTAATTGAGCAGCCCAGATCCCACCCCAAATGACGTGGATGAAAAAGTAGAGTTGATATATCAGTTGCAAAAGAAGTGCGTGAAACACATGCACTTCTTAGAAATAACAAACATGCTCGGGCTTAAATTCTCTCCGTTCAGAGATTCTCTCCCTCTTCAACTCTCACGCTCTCTAGCTCTCTCTCTCCGATGGCCTTCAGCGCAAGAGGAGAGAGGAGAGAGGAGAGAGGAGGGCAAGAGGAGAGAAGAGGTGGTCGAATCTCGTCAGCAACGGTGGTGTGGTGGTCAAATCTCGTCGTCGATGGTGGTGTGGTGGTCAGATCTCATCATCATTGATGGTGTGGTGGTCAAATCCCATCGTTGTCAATGTAATGATTGGATCCTGTCGTCGGTGGTGGTCATCTGTGGCGCAGTGGTTGAATCTCGTCGCCGTTGATGGTGTGGTGGTCGAATCTCATTGTCAGTGGAGTCATCGTTGTATGAGGAGAGAGAACACCGTTTGGGAAGAGAGAAGGGAGAGGAGGGTTTTGAGAGAGACAACAGCGTGGGCAAATTTCACATGGGTCTTAACCACATCATTCAGTGTGGGTGGGATTCAAACTACTCAATTAGGGGGACGAGAATGTAATTTGGATATTGCTTCATCCAATCTATTTCAAGAATCAAAGTTTCTCATCTCCAAAAAAAACAATAAATAAATAAGAAGAAGAAATAAATAAATAATAACAAATAATTTTTCCTTCGGTCATTGCATCCTTCCCTCTTAAAGGAGAATTTCATCCACAAAATTAAAACAAGTAAATCAAAAGAAAAGACATCTTACTCATTACCCTTCAGTACCACACAAACACGTTGTAGTTGTGCTAGATGACTTTCAAGAAATATCAATTAACCTATAGTTCTAACTGCCGGATGCAGAATTCATAAAGGGAATCTAATCATTCTATGGGTCAAACTACCCTTTTAACATGAATATCAGTCACAACTCAAGACACGTCGTACAAGCAACAAGTCAAACTCTATTACTCCATCACCCAAGCACATACACAAGTGGTAACCTCTTAAACATGCACCAACAAGGATATGTCCTTGATCGAATTCTCAAAACAGATTTCACGTAACTTGCTTAAACATGTGTCAATCCATATCCCACAAGCAATATAATCCATATCCGACAAGCGATATACTCAACTGTTCTTTCATTCAATCTTCATTCACCCTAAGGTTTTCAATTCTAGCTTCACATCACCTAGGCATGTAAAATATCTACAATAAGGCACTCTGAATGTATTAGAAGTCGGACCCTTTAGTTACAAGGAATTGAATATTGGTAGCATACATTGTTATGTTCTCATCCTAACTGAACTTTCAAAATTAACAATCTCACATAAATATATAAAATGGATTAAGCTGTGGTCAAGAAGTGTGTTATATGTTCCCGGAGATTTATGTGAGGAGAATTCGAGTCAATTGCTACATTATACTATATAAGCAAATCGTGAATGGAATTCAAAAATAAAAATGTCAATGATAAAATTCATTTCAAGATTCAGAGACATACCAGTTAAACAGCAAGTCCTTGTTTTTTGGGTTTCTTCAGCCATTTCAAAGTACTTTCCAATGTTGAGTACGCAGCAACATCCAACAAGCTCTTACTCTCCACAGCATAATCAAATAAATCATACACCTCAACAATCCTACCATGCCTCAGAAACTTCCCAAAAGATCCTGTCTCAAGCTTCATATCACCTTCTTTCATCACACCATACAATTCAATTGCCTTTTCCAACATATTTGCCTTGCATAACCCCTGAAGCAAAGTACTGCTATAAGTACACAAATTCTGTGTGCACCACTTTCCAACAACTGCACTGCCCCAAATGCATTTCCCTCCCTACACAGTCCATTCATCAAAGAAGTGTACGTAACTTCATCTAGAAAATGACCCATTTCTACCATAACAACCAAAAACTTCATAGCCTCCTTAAATCTCCCCGACTTTGATAACACAAAAATCCAAGTATTGTATGTCACCAAATCAGGTTCCACTCCATCTTCCTTCATCTTCTTGTAAACCCATAACACCTCACTCCCCTGACTCAACATACAATAACACTTCATAATTGTATTATAAACATAGTGGACCAGCTTAAACCTGTCCTCACTCAACAATCCCAACAACCGGGTTGCTTCACGGAGATTCTTTCTGTTACATACATTATCAATGCCAAGCAATCACTCCTTTAAATCACTTGATTTTCCTACTTCACATCTCAATCATCAAAACTTTTTAAACCTACATATTTTAATGTCAAGACATCAAATCTATTTGTATCATCCCTAATGGTAATATTCCAAGATCACAACCCCATTTAACAGTCAAAACACCAAATATACCCTCTGAATTTCATAATTAATTCCATAAAACCTACAAAAATAATCATCCTCTCATCAAACAATCACTCCATTCAACAAATGTACACTCAATCAAAACCTCCACAATCACGGTCCAAAACAACTTAACCACACAACTATTTGCACCATTCACTCAAAGAACCGAATAACTTAGGCTTTCTGTATAGCTTCTATACATCATAAATTTTCATAGTCTATCAATAAAACACTTACCGTAAAGTGAAAATAGCTCGTTTTTCATAAATTTCCAATCTATTAATCTCAATTTCAATTCCAATAATCTCTTACACTCGCAAAATTTCTTAAGATCCAGATCCTTAATTGTGCCACAAATTAAACAATTCACATAATTCATATTCCTACAACGCCCTTAATTTTCTGAAGATTAAACCAAAAATATTAGCGTTTAATACAATCACTCACTCAAATTCACCATATCCACTTCTAGTGAGGTGAGGTCCCCTCAACTACACATCTTACTCATTGCTCTCCAGTACCACACAAACACGTGGTTGTGTTAGATGACTTTCAAGAAATATCAATTACCCTATAGTTCTAACTGCCGGATGCACAATTCATGAATGGAATCTAATCATTCTATGGGTCAAACCACCCTTTTAACATGAATATAAGTCACAACTCAAGACACGTCATACAAGCAACAAGTCAAACTCTACTACTCCATCATCCAACCCCAAACACAAGTGGTAACCTCTTAAACAGACACCAACATGGATATGTCCTTGATCAAATTTTCACCACAAATTTCACGTTACTCGCTTAAACATGCGTCAATCCATATCCCACAAGCGATATACTCAACTGTTCTTTCATTCTATCGTCATTCACCTAAGGTTTTCTATTATAGGTTCATATCACCTAGGCACGTAAAATATCAACAACAAGGCACTTTGAATGTATTAAAAGTCGAACCCTTAAGTTACAACGAATTGAAGATTGGTTGCATACATTGTTATGTTCTCATGCTAACTTAACTTTCAAATTTGACAATCTCAAACAAATATATAAAATGGATTAAGTTGTGGTCAAGAAGTGTGTTATATGTTCCCGGAAATTTATGCGAGGAGAATTCGAGTCAATTGCTATATTATACTATATAAACAAATCATGAATGGAATTCAAAAATAAAAATGTCAATGATAGATTCATTTCAATATTAAGAAAGATACCAATTAAACAGCAAGTCCTTGTTCTTTGGCTTTCTTCAGCCACTTAAGAGTACTTTCCAATGTTGAGTATGCAGCAACATCCTTCAAACTCCTACTCTCCACAGAATAATCAAATACTTCATAAGCCTCAGCAATCCTACCATGCCTACAAAGTAGCCTCAGAAACGTCCCATAAGATCCTGTCTCAAGCTTCATATCACCTTCTTTCATCACACCATACAATTCAATTGCCTTTTCCAACAACTTTGCCTTACATAACCCGTGAAGCAAAGTATTGTAAGTGCACGAATTCGGTGTGCACCCCTTTGCTTCCATCTCCTCCAACAACTGCACTGCCCCAAATGCATTTCCCTCCCTACACATTCCATTCATCAAAGAAGTGTAGGTAACTTCATCTGGAAAATGACCTGTTTCTGCCATAACACCCAAAAACTTCCTAGCTTCCTTAACCCTCCCCGACTTCGACAACCCAAAAATCAAAGTATTGTATGTCACCATATCAGGCTCCACTCCATCTTCCTTCATCTTCTTATAAACCCATAACACCTCACTCCCCTGACTCAACATACAATAACCCTTCATAATTGTATTATAAACATAGCGGTCTGGCTTAAACCCATCGTCAGTCAACAATTCCAACAACCGGGTGGCTTCACGGAGATTCTTTCTGTTACAAACATTATCAATCAAGATTGTGTAAGAAACAAGGTCCGGCTTTATTTCGAAAGATTCTCGCATTTCAGTGATGAAATTATTGACAGTATTGAGTGTCCTGGTTCTACAGAGATGCTTGATGAGCAAATTGTAGGTGTAAGTGTCTGGGGGAGAGTGTTTGAGGCAAAATTCTTTTACCAATTCGACAGCATCATCAATGCGGTCGGCATTGCAGAGGGTGCGGACTGCTATGTCCGTGGTGACCTTGTCGGGATGGAATCCATCGGTGACCATGAGATTGAGGGTTTTGCGGACAGAGGATAGGGTGGGATTGGGGGATTTGCAGGACTGGGAGAGGAGAACATGGTAAGTGGATCGATCAGGGCAGAAGGGAGGGCAGGTCTTGATCATGTGGCGGAGGAGAGAGATGGAGTCGTCGATAGATGATGATATGGAGGCGAATGATTGGAGGATGGAGTTGTGGAATTTGAGGTCGAATGGGATGGTGGTGGAGGTGATGATTGAATTGAAGAGGGATTTGGCGTCGGAAAGGTTGGGGGAGTTGAAGGTGATGAATGGGGAGGGTATAGGGTTTTCAACGGCGGTGGTTAGGGATTTGGGAGATTTTTTCTTGGGGATTTTCTTGGGAAAGTGATAGCGTTTGGAAAGTGGGGTGGGAGTTTCAGGCTGTTGATGATCAGGAAGGACAGGTGAAGGGTTTCTGAGCAGAGTCGATAACGGGAATGGTGTAGCCCTAAGTGCCGGTGGTACTTTTCCCATCTTCTCTCACCTATTCTTCTTCTTCTTCTTCTTCGTCTTCGTCTTCGTCTTCTGCTATTTCTCTTCTCCGGTGCTGGACTAGGGCTTTGTAGGGTTTTACGCAAAGTCGGCTTTTTGGGTCGGTGGTTCCGTCGCGTCTAGAAAGAAATCGGTTCCTCTCTGACCGACTTATGATTTGGGGTAAATTCCATTCTGAATTTTGAAAAAAAAAAAAATCTATATATATATATATATAATTAAAGTCCCTAATAATAGTAATTTAGAGGATAAAGGACACTAAACAAATAAGTAATACATCAGGTCCCTCAACTATATCGCGCGCATTTTTAATTATTTTATGGACCAAAATACCCTTCACAAATCAACACAAAAATGAAACTGGATTCCGACGACTGAGTTTCATTACAAACATCCAACCATCTTCACGAGCAAGAGAACAGCAGAATTAAGATTTCAATATCATCTTCACCATTGACATTAGAATTTCATTATCTTCTGCAAAAATCCTTCCCATTCCTTCCTCACAAATTTCTCTGACCCTATTTTCACTGTTCATCGTCATCTCAGTTCATCTTCATCACATTGCATCTTCATCTCAAAGCATATTAGTTCGTAATTAGCGTTTCATCCAAAGTCTGGCAAGTTTTTCTACAATCCATCAAGTTTTTCTCTAGAAACACAATTAATTGCATTTTATATTAACCTTCCAATAATTAGGGTTTTAATTTCGTAATAAAAAGCTACATAAATTTGAAAAAAGTTATTTATCTGTGTTTTGAATTTATTCTTGAACATGTTTGCGTGATTTTATCTGTAAATTTCTCTGGCATTTGAATTTCTCTGGTATTTGCTTGATGTATGTTTCTTCTTTGAATTTTCTCTGACATATTTATTTTGACAAAAGTTATTTCTCTATGTTCTGATCTTATTCTTGAACATGTTTGTGTGATTTTGTCTGTAAATTTCTCTACTCTGTAAATTTCTCTGGAATGTTTATTTTTCTCTGGAATGTGTAATTTTCTTAGGCATTTTCATTTTCTATACCTGCTAAATTTATGTTTCTTTTTTGAATTTTCTCTGACTATATTTTATATCTATATGTAATATTACTCTATTGTCTGTGTCTAAATTTTTCTGGCATTTATAATTTTCTCTGGGCACATCACATTTCTTTTTTGTGTGTCTCTATCATGTTTAATTTTCTCTGGTTGTGTATGTAAATTTCTCTAGCACTTTAATATTATGGACTAGAAAACTTCTCTAGAATGGAAATTTTCTCTGCAATGTGTAATTTTCTCTGGCATTTTCATTTTCTGTGCTTGCTAGGTTTATGTTTCTTTCTTGAATTTTATCTGGCTATATTTTACATCTATATGTAATTTGTAACAATTTTTGAAAATTTATCTATCATAGTTATGTTGCTTTGGTTATTTTTTTTGGGAATGAAAATTAGATGTGGCCATACATATTCCACATGAAAACACCTAGTATTTTCTTGTCAGTGTCTAAATTTCTTTGGAATTTATAATTTTCTCTGGCCATATTAGTTTTCTCCCTTGTGTTTGTTTGCCATGTTCAATTTTCTCTGGTGTGTTTATTTTGTTCAATTATTGGTTTCAATGTTATGTAATTTTCTGTGGCATGTTTACGTTGCTTTGTTTATTTTATCTTGCTAATCATGGAATGGAAATTTTCTCTGGCTTACTATGTTTACTTTTCTCTGTCATATTCATTTTCTATGCTTGCTAGATATATGTTTCTTTTTTGAATTTTCTCTGGCTATATTTTACTTCTATATGTAATTTTAACAATTATTGAAAATTTCTCTGGCATGTTTATGTTGCTTTGTTGATTTTCTCTGGGAATGAAAATTTTCTGTGGCTAGATGTATTCCACAAGAAAACAAATCACTTTGCTTAGTTAGAGTTTTCCAAAAATACTTTTCAGAAAATTTTACTTTTTTGTTTTCCATATTTTTTTTGTTTTTATTGATTTTTTAAAATATTTTAAGCACTTTTTTTTAATTTTTAGACATACCTAACATAAATATACTTAAAAAGTAAAAAAAAATGTGAAAAAACCTTTTAAAAATTCACTAAATACCAAAAATACAAAAAAAAATACGAGAATTCAGTACATTTTTTTTATATTTTTATGTATTTATTTATCTTTTAAAATATTTTTTCACAAATTTTTTACTTTTTAGATACATCTAAGTAAGGTGCATCTAAAAAAGTAAAAAAAAAATGTTTAAAATGTTTAAAAATATTCACTAAAAACAAAAAAATACGAAAATCAAAAGACTCAGTTTCCAAAAAACTCAAACCAAACACACTGATTAGTACTCTGACATTTAATTTTCAGTGTCTAATTTTCTCTGGCATTTATAATTTTTCCTAGCCACCTTAGTTTTCTCCCTTATGTGTAATTTTTTCTGACATGTCCAATTTTCTCTAGCATGTTCAATTTTCTGTAGGGTTTAATGTTGACATCTTTATGTTTTTATCATTGTCTAGAAATGGAAAAACGTAAAAGCAGCAAAACACCAGAAACATTAAGTAAGAAACAGAAACTCTCTCAGCCTTTTTATTATCTAAGATTAAAAAGTAGCAAAACACCACAAACTCCTTGCCAAAACACACAAGTCCAAGGTGATGAAGCAACTAGCATCAAGATGAATACCCCAACTTCAAAAGACTCATGCTCAAGAGGGAAAAAACCTGTTAAACTCCAAAGAAAGAGAGCTCATTACATCATTCAATATAGATCCAACCTCCCATCTGTTGTCTCCTTTTTTTCAAACACTTAAATTCAATTCAAACTAACTTGAAGAGCTTCAAAAGACCCCATTCTGGTATTTGACCCAAGCTCTAACCACCGAAAGGATGGATCCAAGGAAATCTAGGAAATCTGATGATGATGTAGTTACAATAATCCAACGTTACAATAAAAAAAACAAAAGCATTCACAGTTGGTAAAAAGAACTTGACCTTTATAACCAATGATATAACCTTGATTTTTGGTTTGCAATGAGGTAAATGAGCCATGTCATTAAGATACTCTAAAAAGTCAAAATCTGCATTTCTAAGTAAAAGATTCCCAAAGGACACAAGGCTCACTAGTCATGTTCTTAAAAATGCCTTTGTCAAAACAATGAAAGGCAAGCAACCAAATGACTTCAAAGATGTAGCAATCATTGTTACCTTGTACTTGTGTCTCACCCTATTTTTTGCAACAAGTGGGAATTCAATAGGGTGAGTTTTTACAAAGTACGTGGAACCTCTTGAATAAATGAAGTAGTATGATTGGCCAGAAGCAATCACATCAACATTGATCGATTCTATCACAGCATTGCACAAAACTCCAGAAAAAGTTACGGGGTGTGTCATTGCATTGCCGGTAAGTATAATTTCTATTCAAATTTATAATTATGATACTTACAAATTTGTGTGTCTAGCAAAATTTAATTACTTTAATTTCCATCACAGTATTGGCTATGTGAACATGCGATTATCATTGACTCGGAAAACAGTAACACAACTGACTTCCCAAGATATGCCAAGTGGAACTTGCAAAGCTTGACTAAACAGCTGCAGAAGACAGCAATCCACTCTCTTGCACCTCGACAGGTTAGATTTCTATCGCCACTAAAATCTCAGTAAAATTCCAAAATTTCTCTGACCGTTGGTTTGTTTCCTTCCTTGTACCTTGAGTGATTGAGATCAATTTTCTATGGAATCCAAATTTCTCTGACCACAATTATAGTGACATTATTTTATCTCCCTTGATTGATTTTCTCTGATATCTAAATTATATTGTTTGTTTCATAATTTTCTCTGGTCCATAAAATTAATTGTCCTTGTGCATAATTTTCTCTAGTCCATAAAATTTTCTCTGAAATCTGTATCCCATTAGTATGATTTAAATAAATTTTATCTGGCTCACAACTTATGTGTCTTGACTGATTGAGATCAATTTTCTTTAAAATTTCAATTTATGTTGCTTTTTGATTACTACTGTTTATTTCTACCCTTGTAATGAATTTTGTTTGGAATCCAAATTTCTTTGACACAATTATAGTAACATTAACTTATATGCCCTGATTGATTTTCTCTGATATCTAAATTATGGTGCTTGTTTGATAATTTTCTCTGACTCATAAAATTATCTCCTTGTCTGTAATTTTCTCTGGCCCATACAATTTTCTCTGAAGTTTGTTTTCCATTAGTGTGATTTAGATGAATTTTATCTGCCTTATTTGAATTTTTTCTCTCAGTGAATTTTGTAACATTTCTCTAATAAAAGAGCCTCCTATTACAGATAGATAACAAGGAACTAGTTAAAAATCCATCAGAGGAGTTTTGTCTTGGTAAAAAGAAAAAAAAAAAGAATCAAAAAAAGTAATTGCAAAATTCAAGAAGACATTAGAAGATTCATCTAAAGAAGGGGGGAATGAAGAATGAGAAGGAAACAAAGAAGAACAAAAAGCTAGTAATGGAGAAGAAGATAAAGCAAGCAGTGCAGAAGCGGAAACCAGAGAAGAAAGTGAAGAAGTAGAAGTAGAAGACAAAGAAAAAAATAAACAGAAAGAAGAAGACAATGAATAAGAAGATGAAGGCACTGAATTTAAAAAAGAAGAAGAAAACAATGAGAAAAGTGACGGAGAAGAACATAATGAGCTGATGGACCAACATCATGATAGCAATGCATCAGCCTCAAGAATCTAAGGAATCAAAGGATGCTCAAATTACTGATCTACATCAAAGACTAAAGGCACTTTCTAAATCCAAAATAGAAGAAAAGAGAAATTGGAATGAATTACTTGCAGAAAAGGACATTGCAATAAGAACCTTGACATTACATAACTCAGAATTTCAAGAAAAAGACAGCATAAACCAAATGAAACTAAGGATATTGGAGGCTAAAAAACAAGATGATACAAAAACAATTCAACAGTTGAGGTATTCAATTTCAGAGTTTGAAGCTGAAAATGCTAGATTGCATGAACAAATTCAAGAACTATCCGTCCAACTAGCAATACAACCTTACCAAACACCAACACAAGTTCAACCCCAAGGTCAGTGAAAATCTTGAGCCACAAAAAGTTATGTCCTTGTATCAATATAACTCAAAGAAATTTTTATTTATTATAATTTTCTCTGTCAATGGTAATTTTTTCTAGAAG